GTCTCAGGAGGACGCATGACGTCAATGAAAAAATGGAAGGTTGTGTGAATAGGAGGAAAAAAAGAAAAGAAAAGAAAAGAAAAGAAAAGAAAAAGAGAGAAAAAGAGAAAAAGTTAAGAAAAGGAAAGAGAGGTCTCTGAAGCTGTCCTGATGCGGGACAGAACTTTGGGGACCGGAGGTTCCACTTGGAAAGAGGAATCCGATTGGATTGAACGCCTGAATCTGGCCGTATACGTGGATAGGTGGAGAAGATGGATGTTGATCTATCTGCTGATCTGCACCTCTCTCTCTGCATTAAACACATCCAGGTTCAGGCACTTAACCGCTCTTGGGAGTCGTCAGCCTGTTATCCCCGGCCAATTTTCTTGCCTTGTCCTCTTTGCTTTTGGGACCTCGCCGCTGGGGCTGATTCTTCATTTCTGGCCGTCGATCCTTCGAATCTACGGTCAGTTTTGAGAATTCGGGTACTAAGTGTGGGACTTGGACCCTGATGTTCATTTAGAAACGGTGGCGAAAGCCGAAGGAAGGGTTTCCTTCTTCCTTCGGGGGCGTGGTCCCACGGATAGAATGCCTGAATCTGGACGATTTTATGGAGATGTGCAGGAAATCAAGATTGAACTGCTTTTGTGCATCTCTGCTTTAAACCACATCCAGATTCAGGAGCTCCGTCCTATCCTTTTTGCTAGTGGGACCTCGGCCAGGGAGATCAGTTAAAATTGGAATTGGAACGATAAAGAGAAGGAAGATTGTTTTTTTCTTTTTTTTTTTGCAAAATCAAATCCATTCCAAAATTCCATCAGAGGCCGGGGACCACTACATTACTCCCGGATGCAAAGTGCTGGACGCATCATCCAGCTTACAGGCTATGCCTGCGGTCTTTTTCAACCGAGCAGCTCTGAGGCTGCAAAGCCTTATTCTACAGCTACAGCTACAGCTACAAAACTGCGTCCACGTCTACGTCTGCGTCTAAAACTGCGTCTACTGCCTAAACTGATTATAGTACAAACGCCTCTTAGCTGTACTGGTCTAAATTCGACTAGTGGAATTGTAGTTCCAAGAGGCTAAGAAATTTTTTATTTCTACTTACCTGCCTAAAGGTGAGAGAAAGAAGATTAGCCGGGCTGTTCATTCAAAAAAAAAAAGAAAAAAAAAAAGTAAAAAAAAAAAAAAGAAGGATTAGATTCATTAGAACGGCTCAGATTAGCATGGCCCCTACTACCCCCTAGGGGAAAAAAGGATGAGTCAACACGCATAAATGGAGAAAAAAATGGTTCAAATAAAAAGAAAAAGAAAGGGGAAAAAAGAAATGAAGGGACAGGAGAGAAAAGGTGAGAGGGAGAAATCGCAATGGCGTTGTAGACACTTATCTTAGGTATCGGATTCTTCTGCATCTCTGCACAAAATACATCCAGATGCAGGTTCTTGATCCAATCCTGCCTCTGTTTTTTTTTTTTTTTTTTAAGCCGGGAACGCAAGTTCAAAACCTGAGCTGCTTTCGTTATTCAGTAACAGAACTGAAATATGGGCTTTTTTTCCTACTTTGGAAAAGCTCTAGGTATAGCTCTATCCAAAAAAAAAAAAAAAAAAAAGAAAGCTCTATCAATATTGTCAGATTATGTGAATTTATGTCTGTTTCTTTTAATCGGAAACGAGCCCAGTATAGCCATGAGTTGTTCACATGTCAAGGTAAAAACAGCTATTGATAGGCTTCTTCTGCATCTCTGCTCAAAACACGTCCAGATGGAGGTGCTTGATCCAATCCTCTGCTCACAGGGCTGATATGTGTAATCTACAACGGTTTCCTGTTGGTCGTCATTCTT